AGCATATGAAATAAGTTGTTTACAAACGAATCCTAGATAAGTTCGTAAGGTCAGAAAGTATACTTTACGGAAATGCCACGAACACACAAATGTTATGGAAATCGAATACAATTGGCTTACGCGAGGTGTGCAAGTTATTGGAATAGAGTACAGGTAGACATTTATATGAGAAAGAAAAGCATTCAGGCAAAATTGAAAACCCACCACCTGAAATAAAGCGACATAGCATGCAAAGCACGCGGTTAGTAAATCGAATGCCGCGTACCTACAGACTCTGCGCCGGTTCTGCCTACGTTCTCTGCAGGACACGTCGTCGCTTCGGTAGTGGTCCTGAGTGGCCTCGCTCATGGCTCACTAAGACTGCCTGACTAAGGCACTTGTGATCGCATGTGCTACAGCACCATGCGCTTGATGTCGATGGAAAACAACCCATCGGTGCTTGCAGCTTCCGCAAGTCCCGCTTCTTCTCTGCATGCATGAAGGCTTGCTCCTGCACCTCGGCAACTGCCTTCGCCATCAGATCGCGCCACGCACGCCAATCAACCGCCTTCGATTCCCATGATTTGCAATCAAGATTAGAACGTGAGAGGCTCACTTTAATCATGTCCTGGTAACGTAATTTTGGTTTCCCCATGTGCCGCTTCCCAATACTCAGCTGACCATATAATAGCTGCTTCGGTATCCGCGTCGAATCCATACGGCTCACATGACCGAACCACCTCAGGTGTCTCAATAAAAGTAAGCAGTCCTCTGCATACATCCCACTTCGGCACAACACTTCCGTGTCTGCAACTCTGTCGCCCCAGCCGATGCGCAAAATCCGTCGCAAACACTGCTGATGGAACCGCTCGAGATATCGCACATCCCGACGGTAGCTCGTCCACGTTTCACTGCCGTATAGAAGAACGGACAGCACCATGGATTTGTACACCATCAGCTTTGTGCCAATGGCAAGCTGATGGTGGTTCCACACTCGGTACTCTAGCTTCCCGTATGCCGCCACTGTTTTCGAGACGCGGATACGCAACTCAACGTGTATCTGCTGGTCAGTCGACATCACACTCCAGAGGTAGCTGAAGCGGGAGATGGTTTCCAATACTTCAGCACCAATACCGAGTCACGGCAATATTGAGGATTGCACCTTCGGTGAAGGCTGAAAGAAACTGACAGTTTTGCTTGTGTTGATGGCGAGCATAAATTTTGCTGCTGTCGAAGCCAGAGCATTAGCCATGTGCTACAACTCATCCGCGCTGTGTGAAAACAACGCACAGTCACCAGAAAACAGCAACCTACGGATAGTTGTCTCACAGACTAGAGTTCTCGCACCGAAACGACGGATGTTCAGCGACCAAGTAACCATACGGTGCTCCACACGAACACCGTAAACACAAACGGCAACAAAGGCACAGGACAACATTGCATGAAGATATATATTAAACAGGGCAGGAGCTAAGACACAGCCTTGCTTCACACCAGATACAACTGCAAAGTCATCCGAGATCTCTCCACTCAGCTGCACCCTCACTCGCATACCACTGTGCAGACATTCAATTAAACTTACAAACTTACGCAGGCAACCAAACTTACCCAACACCAGCCACAATGCCTCGCGGTTCACAGTATCAAATGCCTTGGTGAAATCAACAAAAAGCGAGTACAATGGCTGGTGTCGTTGTCTGCACTTCTCTTGCAACTGACGGGCCGCAAACAGCATTTCTATAATGCTGCGACCCGAACGGAATCCACATTGCTCTTCCGCCACGTTAGGTTCCACAATCAGACTCACGAGGCGATTGAGCAGGATTCGGGCAATCACCTTGTCCACACAATTCAGCAAGTTGATGCCACGATAATTCGTGCAACATTGCTTGCTCCCTTTCCCCTTGTATAGTGGTAGCACAAGGACATCCTTCAGCTCAGCAGGCACCACCTCCTCAATCCATACAAGTTGCACCAAGTGGTGCAGCGCAGTCAACAAAGTGGGTCCACCGTGTTTCAATACTTCAGGCAAGATCCCGTCGGCACCTGCACACTTGCCGTGTCGCAGCTGAGCAAATGCTCTCTGCGTCTCATCCAGTGTCGGCGTGTCCGCCAGATTCGCCTTCACATCGTGCTGCTTCAGGCCGTTCAAGGTAGGCCAGTCGATCTCTGAACGGTTGTTCAAGAGACAGTCAAAGTGTTTCCGCCAGATCTGCATTATGTCTGCAGTCTGTGTGCAGGTAACGCCTGAACTACCATCAATCAGTGTCCTCAGCGGCTCCAATCTCGGTCCATACACCGCCTCCAAGGAGTCAAAGAATTCCTTGTGTTGGCGGCGTTCGGCGTAGCATTCCATCAGCTTCGCCTTCTCCGTCCAGCATGCATTTTTATGCGACGGAGCTCTCGGGTCAGTCGCCGTCGAAGTTTGCGAAACTGACTACTCTTTCCCAAGGCGCTGGGGTCTGCAACATGTGCAGCAAATGCTGCATTATTCTCCTATACCAATGCGCTGTTCGTCGCACTGTTGTCATCAAAGCAAACAGGCCGCTTGCAGTTTGCGCGCCCGATGGTCTCCTCGGCAGCAGCTGTCACCTGGTCGCGAATGTGGTGCCACAGGTCGCCCTCTGTGGCTATGAAATCCACATTACAAAGGCGTGCAGCCATCGCCTTCTCCAGCTCAGTAGGTTTCGCCACAATACCGAGGGAGAGAATGTTAAATTTACGCCGATTCACGGCGGGAGTGCAATACATAGAAATATATGTACAGTTTGGTCCGCACCAACTTGTGATCAGTGCCACACTCAGCTCCACGCAGTACACGTGTCATGCGCACTTCACGCATATCATGCTGACGTACGATGACATAGTCGAGCAGGTGAGCGTGACCACTCCGTGGGTGCGTCCAAGTTGCTATATCACTCGTACTCAGTGCAAACCGAGTGTTCGTGATCGTCAGGCCGTGAGTGGCACACAGTGAGAGCAGCCTGTCACCGTTCGCATTCGCTGAACCAATGCCATGCGAACCGATAACATCTGTCCACGCTGATGCATCACGCCCAACACGCGCATTGAAATCACCCAGCAGAAATAGTCGGTCGCTCCTCGGCACAGACCTATCCCGGAGGATAGCTCAGTGTAGAACTGATGACGCGTGTCATCAGGATAACACATGGTCGGACCGTACGTGCTTATAAAAGTAGCAAACTTACCACTTCCGAGTCGTAGGCGAACAGTCATCAGTCGCGCGCTGATGCCTGTTGGTTCACCCACCAGCTGGCCATTTAGGCACTCGGATATTGCAAATCCGACCCCATATTCAGGTGGTGCTGAGGCAGCGTTGCCCACCCAGTAGAATGTGTAGCCAGCACCTGCTTCATGCAACTTACCTTGCTCAGCAGGCCGAGTTTCACTGAGCGCCGCAATATCGATGTGGTAGCGCACCAGTTCCATCGTCACCATTGCAGTGCGTCGCTCCGGGCGCTCGCTGGAGTTCCGGTCCAGTAGTGTGTGCACGTTCCAGCACCCGATGCTGAGTGCTTTGCGAGCAGGCATACGAATGCATTGGTGGGCAGTCGCCCGCGAGGTGGTCGTTGTGCTTCGGAGGTCTGCTTGAGGGACTCCCCCGGAGTCTTTGGCTCAATAGCCTGACCCACAAGGCAGTGGGGGCAGATCCAGCTCGGGAATGTGATTGCAGAGACAGATGGGGATCTGCTTGACGGCCGTCACACGCAGCCTTTGAGGTTCTGGAACGTTTTATATATGTTTTGCGACCGTAGTAAGATACACCTGCGACCACGGCCAGACGCAGGTGGGTTTTGGCGGGTTTGTACCAATTTGACCAGTGGCTGCCTGGCTTGAGGCTGGCAGTAGCAAAACATTTAACAGCCGGAGGTGCCCTCTCACCGTCAGAGACCATGCGTGGCGCTCGTGCTCTACGCCAATCGAGCTGTGAGCTTATAACCCGCAGACCTGTTGTCTCCCATGGTTAGGTTTTACGGGAAGTGGGCTATCGATCACTTCCTAACCTCCGAAAAGGATGGATCTGGATACTGCCAGGGCGCCTACTCCTGACAGGAGAACGACGCGGGTCCTCAGCCAATGCCTTCGATTAAATGAACACCCGAAAGGCAGCGGGTCTAGCACATGGTCAGTTCACTGACTCATGCGGATGGGTGTCCTGGATCTTAGCAGGGAGAAGGGCGAAACTCAAATCCCACCCAGCGGTCACCACGGGGAGGCGCCCAGGACATGAGCGAATGGTACAACAGTAGTAGCAGTGGGTAGGCCATCTGTCAGGATCTAGCCACCACCAGCCTCAGCGCACCAAAGGCTCTCCTGCCTGATATATATATATATATATATATATATATATATATATATCGCATAAAGATATCATTTAGCTCAGAAAAGCAATCATGTTCTCACCACACTTATATCTCCAGGTGCCGAATAGTAGGCTGACAGTTCACCGTTTTCGTCACACATTTGGGATGCGAAAGCATACAAATTGGTAGCCAAGCAAAATCGGCAGTGCTCACTTATTTCTTACATGTGCTTTCCTCAATGAGTGTTACTGTAGCCCGTGGAGCCTAATCAAATCGGACTCTGAACGGATGTTTGTAGAAATGCTGTCGTTTCTAGACCACGTCTTTGTTCCAGCCAGTTATTCCGTTGAGCCCAGTTGTGTATGATATGCCCTTGAAAAGGAATCTACTGCTGCTATCTATTCCTACACAAAATACAAGCGGTCTGCCCACGCACTGTGTATCCTTAGCATTCCCGCTTGCTATTTGACAATTTCCAAATGATTGCGACAGGGTGCCATCTGGGTGCCATCTGTGGTGTACGAATGTTATCGTACCTAGGAGGAATTGTGGTTGCCCAAATTACTTGCTTAAGGTGCTACTACCTTGAATTACGGAACAAATCAGGTACATAAAGAGACATCCTAGTGTTTCAATTCTGGTTTCCACCGAAATAAGCCTCCAACTTGACCGACTGTCTCGTTTGACATCCCGTAGAATCGAGGAACCTGAGTCCCCTACCGCATCTGGTGAGGGTAAACCGCGTCCCATCAGGAAACGCAGAAAGCGCGTACATCCAGAACCAGAGCCTCCATTGGTGCCACGCCCGAAACAGCGTCGGAGAATCTATAAGAAAGAGGTGAGTGAATTCATTGGTTACTTATTCCATCAGCTCCTCTAACTCCGTTTCACAAGCAGTTCAGAAGAGAAATCTATCGAGTTAGAAATTACTTTTAATAAGTTCTGGTTATGAAAAGCAGCACTCCGAGAAGGGTGGCAATAAAAGTATAAAATAAAGTACATTCTTTGGGTTATTTTTGCGAAAATCACTTGATTTCTTTATCTGTTGCAGTCTAAGCTCCCAATTGCCGCGATACTATGCCACATCTAAGCATAGTCGCTACATTGCAACGATACCCGGTCGATTGAAAGTGCTGTACTCAGAAGCTTCATGTTAGCAAAACTACCTTAGCTACTCAGTTACCTTATTTCACGCAACATTATAAACAGAGTACATATCTCTCAGCCAAAACTCAGAATTTCTAAGTAGCTATGCGACGAAAAGTTGCTGGTGTTCGGATCCCGTAAACACCTTTGGTTACTATCACACCCCTCAACAGATTCGTTCTAAAGACATACACCCATAGCCACTTTCTGATCTGGATCCTTTACCAAGAAAGAAATCCACTACCCCGAAAGGCCTATTAAGATGGTATTAACAGTCGATGAAAGTTACAGAAAACGATGACTAAGCGGTGGACCACTGATGTATATAATGGAGTTTCCTATAGACAGCGAAAACTGAGTTAGAATTAGGCCACGTTAATAGGAAATTAAGTGGATGTATCGGATGGGATGTAAATTGCAGAGTTGCGCGAATTTTCCCAAATTCAACCACATTTAGATACATCAGCGTAAAAGTACGAAGAAAACGAACTAGTTTCAGCTGTATCCTGTAGAAGACCGTTTCTTTCTAACCAATACATAACACCCAAGGGAGCCCGAACTGTTCAAAGACAACGATATAGCAGTACCGTTTGGTTGTTTTCTATGTGTAACACCTGATTTATCAAGGAATATACCCTCTCTCTAGCTGTCTTAAAACTACCGTGTAAACATCGTTCTAAGCACAAATTTGTCAACAAAGGTCCGTAACCTAATTGAGCAAAACTGCTCCCCAACTCCCCCAATACGAATATATTTGCAGTTGTGAGTCCCAAATACTAACTGACGTCAAACACACGTCCGATATGTGGGCAAATAACTCACCGTCCCGACTGGTTAATTTGGGCTAGCAGACAGCACGGAACCACGATCGGTAAAAATTGTGTTTTCGAAGTCAAATGCGCTGCGACAATAAAGATCTTCGCAACTACCAATAGGATTATTACCCTAGAACGCTGTCGAAAAGCACGCGGCACTGGTGTGATCACACGTGAGTGCGTCACGTGACAGTAAGCTGAGCTCAGACAACGGACATCACGTATCGGCCCGTGGGAGCGCGCCAGTGGTGTAAATGCCAGTATTGCGTGGAATGGCGGGGCATGGGATTTGAGCGTCCCTGCTCTCAAAGCACTTGACCCTAAGGAAGGAAATGTTGTTAAAATCGTTTCCCGGATTCCCCACGGTAGTTTCATTTATATCTTTCCCCGGCACTAACGCGGATTCATTGTGTTTGTTTTACTATGTTTTACCAGTTAGCCACAAAAAATCCCCGCCTTGGAGCAGGGGAAATACCGGTAAATACGATACTGTCTTTGTTAGAGGACTGACTTGAGAATAGAAGTTCCAGTGTGTGTCCCTTGCTGTGTTCTTCTTTGGCTGACTGGCTGGGCTCCTCTAGCAGTTAGACCACAACAAACTCTAACGCAGCATCTTGCAATGAACTGCCTCTTCGGTCAACACAGCCACGACAAATTACCTTCAAGCGCCTACGCGTTGTGTACGTCGATGTTTGTCCACCTGAAAAATGAACTCCACTCATCCGGAAATACCCTATGGATTCGTTAGCAGTTATTGAAAGCAATTTAGTCGACTGGAATTGTTCGATTCTTCGCCGGCCAGTGATCGCCCTGCTCCGTGGGCTGTCCCTTTGGATCCACCCTCTCACTCAGAAGTCGAACGTGAGATCGAACTGTTGAAGTTAAATAAAGCCGCGGGACCAGATGATCTTCCTCCAGCCCTCTTCAAATTCGGAGGCTCTACTCTTGTTGATGCTTTACATGAATTACTAGTGAAACTGTGGGAGCAGGAGACTGTCCCAACCGACTGGAGCCGCTCCGTAATTTTCTCATTTTCAAAGGGGGGCTCGCGTTCGGAATGTGGCAACCATAGAGGAATCAGTCTGATCTCCAACGCCTCCAAATTACTCGCCTCCATAATTCTTCATAGACTGACTGGCGCTCCTGAAAACCAGATTCGTGAGGAGCAAGCCGGGTTTCGTCGGGGTCGTGGCTGCATCGACCACATCTTCACCTTGCGTCAGTTGTTGGAGCACCGTCACACATATTGGCGGCCCACCCCAGTCGTGTTCCTCGACATCAAAGGTGCATTCGATTTGGTTGATCGATGTGCCGTTTGGAATTGTCTACTCAGGAAAGGTGCGGCCGAGAAATTTTTAAATATTATCCAAGCATTATACCCGAGTAGCTCAGGCAGAGTGAGGGCTTACGGCAAGCTGTCGCCACCTTTCAATATTTCCAGTGGTGTGAGACAAGGATGCCCGCTGTCACCTTTCTTCTTCAACTTCGCTATTTACGAAGTCATGGAGATTGCATTTACAGGACATGACTTGGAAGGTGTGGAGCTGCTCCCAGGAGAAGGACTTCTTGACTTGGAGTATGCAGAAGACATTGCCCTCATTTGTGACAGATCCCAGTCGTGCCATGCCGCGCTGGACAGATAAGCACTGGCTGTCAGCCGCGTCAGGCTTTACTTTGCACCATCGAAATGCAAAGCGTTCCTACAAGATTGGCAGGGATCGCCTCCTGCGCTGACCCTTGGTGAGGATCAGTTAGAAGTCGTTCAGCAATCCAACTACTTGGGAAGTTGTATCAGCGCCTTTGGGATCGAAGACGAGATCACGAACCGTATAGCAAAAGCTCGAAGTGCTTTTGCTAACCTTCGCCACCTATGGCGGCTGCTCGACATTACTCTTGCCCTGAAGGGTAGAGTGTACAATGCAGCAATACGTTCGACCCTACTGTACGGTTGTGAAGCCTGGCCCCTAAGATCGGTGGACATAAAGAGTCTAGGTACGTTTGATCATCGGTGCCTTGGCAGTTTGGCTCACATCTGGTGGGAACATCGCGTGAGCAACGAACGTGTTCGACGCCTTGTTTACGGCACAGGAAAAGGAAATGAACAGCTCAGCACCGCCATTTCACGCAGCAGGCTCCGATGGCTCGGCCACGTGTTACGCATGCCAGCCCACCGACTTCAACGATGTGCGTTGTTTGCTCACCGGGGATGCGGATGGAAGAAGAGGAGGGGTGGCCAATCGATGACTTGGTCGAGAGAAATTAAGGCCCTCAGTTTGGAGCTGGCCTCGTTTGGAGCGTCACGGCTGCCTGGTTGTGGTCCAAAAGACGATGAACACGTTTGGCTAGATATCCTTGCTGACATGGCAAGGAGCCGACCTCAGTGGCGTTCGTGCTGTGAGTTACTTTGTCCCTCCCCATCCCTTTTAGCCTCCCCCTCCACCTACGATCTCATTTCGTGACGTAAAACACGATAATTTTTCTTTTTGCCTAGTAGCCGGCTGGTAGCTTACCGGAACGATGCCTATCCGTTGCTGGTAGCTCAGCTGGCATGCAATTGTTGTATTTATTTTCCCTTTCCTTTATCTATTGCGACACAGTAGCTGAAGTGTTTCCCACCTCTAGCTGACGTGTATAATGTATGAATAATGATTTGGCCACATCAACGGGTGAACCCTGATACAAGAGGTACCTAGTCTAAGTAGTGGTTTAGTGTCATCAGCAAGTCAAAAGCCAACCACACTAATCTGGCTCCACCCGGTTGGAACTTTCGCTTCCGTGCAAAAACTCCGTTCATTTCAGTAGATACCCATTTGAAGAACACTAATGGATGGTTCTCTTAAAGAAGCCTTTTTAATTGAGTATGTTAGGTTTCAAAAGCCAGAATGATAAATGGTGGATGTAGGGTAGCTCAGCTTCGAATATGCCTTTCAAAATTTGCCGTCCACATGAAGTACAGTAAGAACGCCAATGATCTAGTCTTATGCCCATTCTATGCTCTATACAATTATAGGCAACTATTTGATCTAGAACTCAGTCCTGTTACTGGCATGCCGAACAACCTCCTCGTGGTGCCAGCTGGGTGCTTCGGGACTTTCCCGTTCCAGCAAATGGTTCGGCGGTAGTGTACCAGGACGTGGTGGGTTTCCGTCTAGCAAGCGTTCTCCCTATAAAAAGCCACATATGTCCGTTTAACAACACTGTGACGTGACGGACGTAACTCGCCACTAAATAAAGTCACTGCCCCTTACTTCATCCTGACGAAGCATTGTATTCCAGCAACGTTATGCTGTAGTTCTGGGGAGCATTGGGCCCCTGTTTGACAAAGGAACAAACGAAAGGCGTATGAACTGAGCAATCAGTCATCGGCTACCAATGGGCGCGATTCCCTGAATTCGCTTCGCTGCGTTGCGGACAGACTATTCAGCCAAAGTCTCGGGGTGGTGTCCTCTAAGTCAACACCCTACTTCGGCTTGGGCAACCGGGTAGTATCTCGCCCTCTGACGAAACCATGGACATTGTTGTGTTGTGTTTTCCTTTACTATTTCTGTACCTTCGTTTGAATCCCATGGTTTCTGATGGCATTATGTCTATTCGTAGACGTTTGCAAATATAAATATATATCCTATTACTGCGTAATGTAAGCAAAGTCTCCCTATACGGCAGTCAAGACAATTTGTAGAGCATTTGAAATGCATCCACCAGCAGACACCGGAGCAAGTAAGGTAAAGCTTACCATAGACCATCATCCTAAAGCGGATACTCCAGTGGAATGTGACGCAATCCACAACATTCAACTAATAGCTTCCGTTACGAAGTCTTTGAATACATTCATAAACTGGTATTACACAATCACTGGTATTATGAAATCAGAAAAGTATGTCCACCGCACACGACACCAAAATTAAGCAACTAGCAAACCGTTACGTCCACAGCTATTTTGAAACATATTTTTGCCGAGGACGAAGCACACTGGAGTGCTGCACAACCTGATAAATGCTGAAGGGGTTAATTTACCGTAATTGCATATTTAACATAGACATGGACCACTTGAAAATAGAAAAAAGTAAATTTCACCTTCACCTGAATTGCCATTTACTTGATCCCATGTTAACCGCATTTCTCTGGATGTACCCGATTAGTCAAGGTGGTTGCATTTTAGCACATTCAACTCAGCTTATTTTTTATAGAATTTCTTCCACATAATTAATTAAATCATTTCGCTCTTGCAGGTGAAACCGCCTTCTCCACAACCGAAGGGGACTCCGAAAGCTGCAGACAGCTTGATACCAAAACCCATGCCTAGAAGAGCACCGGAGAAGCGAGAGAAGCCGACCACGCAATCACCAGAGCGTGTGGTACCTATGGCGACCCCACAGAAATCAGTAGTTGCAAGCAAACCACCTGAGATTCCAGCGAGAGCTCCACGTGTCGCCGCTCGACCACCTGCGCCTGTCGTACCACCCCAACCCCCACCGCGGCCTGTACTATCTAGACCAGAATTCCCACGTGAACCGACAAAAAAGGTGCTGAAGGAGGAACCCAAACCACCCACTGCGACTGCAGTACCAAATAAGATGAAGGCTAAAAAGACACCGGTGAAACGAGCGAAAAAGCCCTTCACCCAAGCGAAAATGCCCTACGGAAAAGCACTCCATGGTGATCAGAAGACTACTCAAGTGTCCAGCCGTGTGTCCTCTGTTGATCCAACTGCTATTGAGGCTTTACTAGTACTGGCTGAAGAAGTTCACCACCAAACTACCAACGACCTGGGTGATGAGGTATTACCACAGCGTCTGGACCAAACGGACTATGACCAGTCAAAGGAAGTTGAGGCGATGCAGACACCAGAAGAGACGGAAAACACTGTGTCCATAAGGGAGGAAAGTGTTCATGAAGCACAGGAAGAGGATCTGTGGGGAACAGACTCATTAAACCTTGAAAGTGAACAGCAGCCTTCTGTACAAAGTGTTCTGGAAGAGTTCGAGAATATGGATATCATCAACCCATATGTTGATAATATGGATACAGGAGAATTGCTTGCACCTCCAGCTGGTGAAACGCTGTCATATGGTGCACAAGTGTTATCGAAAGAAGCAGATCGCAGTTTGACGGATATACCAACGGAACCGTTATCTGAGGTTCATGAACCCCCAGTGGCTGTCAGTGTGGAAATTGAAGAACCACTGGTGAAAGATGACATGCCAGAGCCTCAAGCTGTTTTCCTGCATATCGATCGAGATCCAGAAGTTGTATATGAAATTGAAGATGAGCTAACGGAGTCGACCAAATCGGCAATTGAACCTATCACTAGGACAACTGTGCCGCAACAGGAATATATTGCAACTGATGAGGAACCAGTTGGTGAAGAGATATTTCGAATCACAGAGGGCAAGTCCGACGCACTTGAAGTCCCATCTAAGCGAATACCTGATGGATACCATGAGCAGGTACAAGACACTACAGTGAGCCATTTGAACCAAGAGCTAGTCGGGTCAGCTGCGTCTGTGAGCTCTTCACTAGACAGTGCTGATCTGTCCGAAGAAAGATCTGTTCCACTATATGAAGCACCGCAAATAAAACCGCATGTGCCCGTCGAAAAGGACCGCACAGAAGATCAAAGAGGTGCTTCAAAACTCAGGGAACTAGGGCCGGACGACCGCTCAAAGGAAGGTCTCTCGTCGCGAATGGCACAAGTAAGCACGGCAAAACCCCCACTGCCAAGCCGTTTACATGGCCAACCGACCAAGACAACTCCTGTCAGTAACTATGCAAAGGAAGAGAAAGTATCTGCGAAAACATTGCGAAAACAACTACAGGATGCAGACAGCGAACGCACGGCAACTCCGGTGGGCGGTGAAGTGCGATCGATGGAAGTGCTTGCTGAGAGCAAGGGATCAGTTGAGACTGTATCCAAGCAGCAGAAAAATGCACATTTGAAAAGGGCTGCGGCATCTAAAAGCCCGCAAAGAGCTGCTGTTCGAGAGCAATCGAAGAAGCGAATGCATGACGGCACACATATATCAGATTCATCATCAGTAACGCATCTGTCATCTGTCAGTAGCGAAGCGCCTGATTATGTAGAAGATGTTACACAGGGAGGGACGCAAGTTGTGGTGATCAACCTATCTGATACAAATGAATTTCCACAACAGAGGCTGGCGCGAGATAATGTCTTTAGTGAACAGCTATATGACGAAGCTGTGAAAAGTAAAACATCGGGGACCATCTCACCCCATGGTTTACTTGAGTTGCACCAAAGTGCTGAATCTGTTGCTGATCACGTAACTCGACTTGATTCAATAGATGATGAGACAGGTGCGAGAACACAATTTACACCGAAGGAGACGGCTGGATCCGTGCAAAAACTGCCACCTAACAGGAGGGAAGATTTGTCATCTGAATCGATGGCACGAAGCACAACTATACCGCAGTACCTAAGCGAACCAGAAGCTCCAAAAGAGCACTACACTCACGATGAAACTGGTGTGCAGCAAATAACTGGTAAGGTTACCCAAGAAGATATAGGGCAATTTGGAGCGGCGCAGCAAGTGAAGCCGGCTGGAATTCCGCTGGATGGAGAGCCAGGTGAACTTGGAATTGATACAGCTACTGCGATAGCAATTGCGCGAACCGGGTCGACGGAAAAAAGACGACCAGGCGAGGAAATTCCAATTCAGCCTCCCGAATATACCATCGATAAAGACCGAAGTATGCAACACGAAACCCCAATGACAAGCGAATCAAAATGGGCCAAAGAGCCACAAGTCGTCAGAAGTGATCATGAACCAAAATTAGAAGAGCCTCTCATTCGTAAACTAGATGACATAGATTCAAGCAAAGTACACACGGAGCAGGAACGTGAACTGAAATATCAGCAGGCCATGTACCAAAAAGACGACCAACATACTGCAGAGCGTCGTGTGTTTGGAACGGCTCCTGTGTCAGTAGAATCCGAGGACCGTCAAAGGCGTGAGGCGCTAGCAACGAAATCCGACGATACTACGGGCTATCTTCGAGCACCCGCGGAGAGTGTGACAAGTGGCCAATCACTGATCGCACAGCGCATTCCACAAGTGCCGGATGTGGCAACAGTGAAAGAGAGATCTGAGGGTGAGCAGTTGGTTCTTCCGACTGGAGAAGTTGTGCGCGGCAGTGTGGAAGCGGGTCGCGAACCTGTACCACCATACGATGAGGCGCATCGAATGGCGATAGAGCCGGGAATTGCAGAGGGTGGTACGTTTGGAACGGCTCCTCTGTCAGTGGAATCCGACTACCGTCAAAGGAGTGAAGCGCTAGCAACGAAATCCGACGATACTACGGGCTATCTTCGAGCACCCGCGGAGAGTGTGACAAGTGGCCAATCACTGATCGCACAGCGTATTCCACAAGTGCCGGATGTGGCAACAGTGAGAGAGAGATCTGAGGGTGAGCAGTTGGTTCTTCCGACTGGAGAAGTTGTGCGGGGCAGTGTGGAAGCGGATCGCGAACCTGTACCACCATACGATGAGGCGCATCGAATGGTGATAGAGCCGGGAATTGCAGAGGGTGGTACGTTTGGAACGGCTCCTCTGTCAGTGGAATCCGACTACCGTCAAAGGAGTGAGCGCTAGCAACGAAATCCGACGATACTACGGGCTATCTTCGAGCACCCGCGGAGAGTGTGACAAGTGGCCAATCACTGATCGCACAGCGCATTCTACAAGTGCCGGATGTGGCAACAGTGAAAGAGAGATCTGAGGGTGAGCAGTTGGTCCTTCCGACTGGAGAAGTTGTGCGGGGCAGTGTGGAAGCGGGTCGCGAACCTGTACCACCATACGATGAGGCGCATCGAATGGCGATAGAGCCGGGAATTGCAGAGGGTGGTACGTTTGGAACGGCTCCTCTGTCAGTGGAATCCGAGGACCGTCAAAGGACTGAGGCGCTAGCAACGAAATCCGACGATACTACGGGCTATCTTCGAGCACCCGCGGAGAGTGTGACAAGTGGCCAATCACTGATCGCACAGCGCATTCCACAAGTGCCGGATGTGGCAACAGTGAAAGAGAGATCTGAGGGTGAGCAGTTGGTCCTTCCGACTGGAGAAGTTGTGCGGGGCAGTGTGGAAGCGGGTCGCGAACCTGTACCACCATACGATGAGGCGCATCGAATGGCGATAGAGCCGGGAATTGCAGAGGGTGGTACGTTTGGAACGGCTCCTCTGTCAGTGGAATCCGAGGACCGTCAAAGGAGTGAAGCGCTAGCAACGAAATCCGACGATACTACGGGCTATCTTCGAGCACCCGCGGAGAGTGTGACAAGTGGCCAATCACTGATCGCACAGCGCATTCCACAAGTGCCGGATGTGGCAACAGTGAAAGAGAGATCTGAGGGTGAGCAGTTGGTTCTTCCGACTGGAGAAGTTGTGCGGGGCAGTGTGGAAGCGGGTCGCGAACCTGTACCACCATACGATGAGGCGCATCGAATGGTGATAGAGCCGGGAATTGCAGAGGGTGGTACGTTTGGAACGGCTCCTCTGTCAGTGGAATCCGACTACCGTCAAAGGAGTGAAGCGCTAGCAACGAAGTCCGACGATACTACGGGCTATCTTCGAGCACCCGCGGAGAGTGTGACAAGTGGCCAATCACTGATCGCACAGCGCATTCCACAAGTGCCGGATGTGGCAACAGTGAAAGAGAGATCTGAGGGTGAGCAGTTGGTTCTTCCGACTGGAGAAGTTGTGCGGGGCAGTGTGGAAGCTGGTCGCGAACCTGTACCACCATACGATGAGGCGCATCGAATGGCGATAGAGCCGGGAATTGCAGAGGGTGGTACGTTTGGAACGGCTCCTCTGTCAGTGGAATCCGACTACCGTCAAAGGAGTGAAGCGCTAGCAACGAAATCCGACGATACTACGGGCTATCTTCGAGCACCCGCGGAGAGTGTGACAAGTGGCCAATCACTGATCGCACAGCGTATTCCACAAGTGCCGGATGTGGCAACAGTGAAAGAGAGATCTGAGGGTGAGCAGTTGGTTCTTCCGACTGGAGAAGTTGTGCGGGGCAGTGTGGAAGCGGGTCGCGAACCTGTACCACCATACGATGAGGCGCATCGAATGGCGATAGAGCCGGGAATTGCAGAGGGTGGTACGTTTGGAACGGCTCCTCTGTCAGTGGAATCCGACTACCGTCAAAGGAGTGAAGCGCTAGCAACGAAATCCGACGATACTACGGGCTATCTTCGAGCACCCGCGGAGAGTGTGACAAGTGGCCAATCACTGATCGCACAGCGCATTCCACAAGTGCCGGATGTGGCAACAGTGAAAGAGAGATCTGAGGGTGAGCAGTTGGTTCTTCCGACTGGAGAAGTTGTGCGGGGCAGTGTGGAAGCGGGTCGCGAACCTGTACCACCATACGATGAGGCGCATCGAATGGCGATAGAGCCGGGAATTGCAGAGGGTGGTACGTTTGGAACGGCTCCTCTGTCAGTGGAATCCGACTACCGTCAAAGGAGTGAAGCGCTAGCAACGAAATCTGACGATACTACGGGCTATCTTCGAGCACCCGCGGAGAGTGTGACAAGTGGCCAATCACTGATCGCACAGCGCATTCCACAAGTGCCGGATGTGGCAACAGTGAAAGAGAGATCTGAGGGTGAGCAGTTGGTACTTCCGACTGGAGAAGTTGTGCGGGGCAGTGTGGAAGCGGGTCGCGAACCTGTACCATCGTACGATGAGGCGAGTCGAATGGGGATAGAGCAGCAGATTGCGGAACACGGGTCAATCAGTGCTCTTTCGTCATCCGCTCCTGGCGAAATTCTGCCTAAATCCTCACTTACCACACCAGTTGGTATTATGTATCTTCCCTCACCTAACGTTAGCAGCAGCTCGCCAGTTTTCGAGCAATCTTTCGGCAAAGTACACCAAGATAAGATGTCTCTCTTGGATCGTGCAAGTGGTCGCTCACTTATATATTCCGATGGGGAGCATAGTCGAAATGAAACAACCCGCGATGGGCGTGTCTGGGAAACTTGCATGAAAACAGCCGATATCCCATTTTATGTGGACCTGCCCTCTCACGATAGCTTTGGAGAGAGTGAAGCTGCGAAATCGCGCGTCTGTGAAGAAACAGACGCTGAGTATGTATCAAAAGAAGCATCTGAGCAACATGTGTTAATGCATACTACCCGGGAATCGGACGAGAGACGTCTATCCTCCACTGGATTCCATATCGATCAATTAACGGATTTTTCTCCTGGGACTAGTCGCCCTTCACCAGAAGGTATACCTAGTGATTTACCGACTCATCTGGCTGAAGCGAAACCATTTTCACATGAGCGCCTATTATCCGCGATGAGCCACGTGGCGTTTTCCAGAGACGACGATGGAGGGATCAAATATCAATCGCAGTCCGTGGTTGAGATAGGTAAATATGAACCTGTCATCGGTCAACCGACATTGACAGGTGCACGCTCTGTGGAGTACCGTGACGAAAATTTTCAGTTTGAGGTACCATTACCAAAGGAAAGAGCGAGCGAAGACAACAAACCTGGTAAAGCCGCTCCATTTGAGCCAACAATTGATGCAATTTCGTCTTTGAAACCTTCCATATGTGATGTTCACGCTGATCTCACTGTTTACCCCGACAGCGCTAAGCACCCTTGGAGGAACGCAAAGCAGATTGTTCAACCTGACTTGAAATACGACACCGGACCTTTCGCTGACTCACCTAGCATGAGTAAGACCCACAAAGGACAAACCGCAATCAAAAGTGCCACTCGAATGTCCTTTCCGAGCCCATCTCCGGTCGACTACGTGAGCGGAGTACATTCAGGATCACCTTCGCCCATTCAGTTGATTCCTGTCACTTCGCGCCCTTGTTCTGCAATGTCCATCCGGTCCACCATACACACGGAACTGACTCTTGGCTCCGACAGATTAGCACCACCTTTGGTGTCATCGATTACAACGCTACAACTCGATAGCCCACAGTACGGTTATTCCCTCTCTGCTACTCACGAGAATGTGAAAAGAGCCCATTCTCATGAGTCTTCACTAAACAAGATAACACTACCAAATCCCCCATTTTGTCCGTACAGACATAATGAGCTCCTAGTTAACAGTGACCATTCAATAAAATCAGATATGGTGCCTCCTAAGAGAATTTGGGGAAACATTGATTCCAACATGCGTGGGAAGCGCGGACAGATAGCTAAGATAACGACTCATACTACGTTATCTGACACAGGACCATGTCTGGGCCTAGTCTCCAGGCTGAGCACGGAAATTATCTTTGTACCTGAAGGTATTGTTATTAATACACTCTCCTCGTCTGCGCAAATGTTGACAGACCAGATCAGAAAATACCACTCAGCCACGCCCGTGCAGTTGGATGCAAAAGCAGAGCCGGGTACTCCTAAACAGTTAGGGTTAAAAACTGTGACTGGCGGCAGTCCAGAATCGGCTGTTTACGTGAATAACGACCAGGTGGAAAAGAATGTTGTAAGAGTGTTGAGAGATGTGTCAACCGTCGAAGTTGAAGGGATGGAATCACTCACAATGGACACTTTAATGATATCCAGGGAAATAGCGATTGCTAGCAATCAAGAATGTGAACTAGAATGGTCTGGATTAGATTCCGGAACACTCGGGACTGTGCCATGCGTGACGGAGCAACCGGATCGCAGAAGCTCCTCTAAATTTCCAACATCATTGCAACCATTGGTAGAAAACGAAGCACGGACCTCTCCGCAACTTGTACCCACAACTTATAGTCAGGCCGAAGCTGCATATCGTCAGAAGATTGAGGCGGAATATTTTCCGGCTTCGCGAAAATCGCTTGAACAACAATGGAATCTGGATAGCAGTAGTTTGGTCGGTTCTACGTCGAGGTCTCGTGCCGCTCGTCAGGGAAGAGAACTTTCTCAGGAATGGAAGACTCTCGAATCCGAGGGAGATTCAAAAATGACCTCATTCCTGCTCACATCGACTATTGACATTCTGTGTCAAAGTGAACCAAGTGACCCTCACAGCAGTGCATCTAAATTGGTTCAAGAACGTCCAGCCCAACAAAAAGTTTCGAGATCAGAGTTCACGCGACCAGATGACGCCAGTCACCTAGCGAATGCCTTCACTGATCCACTTGTGCTGCCGAAATTTCATCCGATTCAGTTAGCGAACGAACCAACTCATGGTGTGGTCGCACTTCCCATCGACAAAGATATGGGAACTTTTGAGTCGAAATATGAGGTCCAGTTTAAACCTGATGCAAAACCTTGCAAAATTCCTGGTGGTAAGCTGACCACATACCTTAAAGCCAACCAAACATGCGGGACCCGTAGCAGTCCAACCAAGCCTCTCAGGTGGAGATCCGAAGCAAGCTTGGCCCAGCCTAGATTTGCGTGTTGCATTTGCCACGCACAACGCTGCACTTGCCTGTCAACAACGCGTAGTCGTGGCTACCACCGAAGTGGGCCCATTTCCACAGTCACTGGAACTCGAAGTATACCACTACATGGGTTGGTGAGCGACGGAGAAACGACAAAGACGGGTAAGCTGAATTTGGCTGTTTCGGTGATACACGCAGATGTAGGTGAACTGGAGGTCATCACACAAGTGGAAGTGTTTACAAATGACAAATTACCTTGGTCTGGGCAGCCAACACGTCCACCGGCTCCTTTGGAGATTAGAAGCCAAGTGGGCTCGCCTCAGACCAGCCCAAGAATTGCTTTTCCACGGGATTCGCTTGGTGAATCTACGGCTGCCCCAAAGTCTGTGACACTGAATATGTCTTCTACGACAAAAATCGACCTTACGCACACAAGCGCCACAGGCAAGAAGGCGGTCTCTGAGGTCACCCAGCCTTCCACACATTCTTCTCAAGCGGATCGCAAAGACATGGAATCTATACCACCTCCGGTTGAGTTCGCCATAACATCTGCTCATGACCAGCCAACTGCCGATGAGTTGATGACGGAGCAGCATTCATACACCCAATCCAATGATACCAGATCATGTGATGCCACCGAATGTGCTGGCCGCATAAACTCACCCGGGCAGCCTGCCAATATGGAAGACAATAATGCCAACCGGAATGTGTTCTCGCGCAGTTCATGGTACGACCAAAGATATCCCGCTTACACACATGGTCCGGGCGACAATGGAGCCAGAACGACTGAAACCGAAGCTAGCTCACCTGTTTTCATACCAGTTGACGGCAACAACTGTGGCGCGAGTGAAGCATACAGCAGCTCAGAGTCAAAATCGAGACATTGTGAAGGCGCCCGGACAAACACAACCGCACTTATCACTGTTCTAGACGAATCGAATTCAAACGTTAACGGGACCTTGTCTCTAGTGCACCAGGATCATCAGAAAAATGCCGCTGTGGCCTCTACATCTGCCACTCAACCCTTAGGTGCAAGCAGAGAAGAGGGCGGTGATACGAGTTGCCTGGACTACTCGGACACGGAATCCACAGAGGAGAACGAAGGGCCGTCACTTTCCACTCGGGCTGTAAGATTGAATACAAGCAGGTCAGCACGATACTTCAATACCCACTGCTTGCATATCAGGCATGCACCTTTCTCTTCGACGAGCCTTCTCACTGCTACCAATTACCTAGCTCTCGGAGCGGCTGGTCCGATCCCTGCAAAGAGTGCGAACCAGTCTGTCTTTCCGGTCAAAAAGTATCCGTATGAGTTAACCAATGGAGTTTCGCGTGAACTTGCCCAAGGTTTGTCCCTCCATTGTTCTTTGGTCGCATGTGCACATCCTGCACCGGAACGGAAACAGGTGTTGTTTCACCCCATTGTTGGTAATCGGTACGGAACAAGTTGTGGCATTAGCACCAAACGTCAGGTCCTGCCCGAGGAAGGACACCGAAGACACCAAGTACTTGGCCACCGAGATTTTAGAGGTTTGGGTCAACAGAGAAAGGTCGAAATATGGTTGGCCCATGCAGGCATAATGGATACAATAACCCCTCTATTTCTCAGCGGGTACTCTGCAAACACGAGCTTAGACTCTCTCCTCGTAAGGACCTTATTACCTATTTTTACAGGAAGTTGTAGTACTGTGTTTGATTTCATCGACTATGAGACGGAAGAAACTTGTTCCTCAAACTCCGGGAAGATAAGACCTCAGCATCCGGCTTCGAACGATCTTCTTACCATAGAATTTCATCAATCACGTGAGCAATTGATGCCATCTCAGGAGCTCAAACCATTGTTCGTAATTGAAGTGAATAGTTGCGACGTTCAGCCACTTCACATTATTGCAGAGTTTAAGGGGTTCGAAGGATCCATTAGGATATTACCCGTACGAGAGTTCATTCTTCCAAATACACAAGACGGTGTGCTAGTGAAAGAGACTGCGTGTTCCGACTTCATTCTAACTCCTATATTCGGCGACTACGCGAATATGGAACTAACCCATGTGAGCACGTGGTTAGTGACGAACACACACACAGCAAAGCCGATGCTTGTTTCCAAGTTTGCAGTCGAAATAATGTTTAGACATGCACAAACTGCTGATACAGTGTATCCTTTGACAGTGGGCAAAGAAAACCCCATCACCTGTTTTTCAAGTGACGTCAAACCTCGAAACTGGATAGCAGCAGAGCGTGAATGTGCTATAGGATGGTCCTCTGCGTTCACCTGGAACAATGAAACGTGGTTAAACTATTGCAAAATGACAGGATCTACCCGAAATTTGAGTACACATCTTGGCGTTGGTGACACAGAGCTCACCGGTCATGTTACGGTGATTGACGATAGTATTTCATGCAGTGTCCAGAACTACGTGAATGGAAAAATGAAAGACAGCTTTCCAGAGGTGCACCACAAATGCACCATTTCATTCCATGGACAAGTTGTCGCACAAAAGCAGTCATTGGAATTAGACGCATCATTATTAATCCATGGAAGGCCGAGTGTGCTGACTCATGAAGTACTTCCTGCCATGGAGAAGGCAGCGGAATTCCCCAGTGTGTCCCAATGCGCTTGTTTAGCCATGAATAGATATTTGGAATGCGACACGGTGAAAGTTACTGAAAGGTTAGATGTGGTTGCCACTTATTTTGATAAGACCGCAGTGAGTGGTGCGTCACAAGCGGAAGTTGGTTGCTCTCTAGAATTGGTACCGGGTCGAATTCTCGAGACGACGAACCTCACTTCTGTGTGCGGGACCAGCAGACTAAAGATTGGTAACGAATTCACAGATGCCATATTCACTGAGTTAAGTGTCCAGTTTGAGAATCAATATACCTCAGATTCCGGCGTGACACACAAATTGTATTATCTGTCGGATTTAGGAGTCGGCGCGGATGATGACCATACCGACTCGCATTTCAGTACCACCTTGAGTTTCTCCAATCCCGCCTTCAAGAGGTGTCCGATGACTAAGGAGTCAAACAGTCCCAATGAAGAGCACAGTGTCTGGTCTAGTTTCTCACAAACATATACTTCAAGCTACGATGACAGCATGTTTCGTGCTCCGCTTTATGCCGATATTTTTGGTAGTTGTACGCAAGTAATCCGTACGAATCCTATACGTATCAATAAAAATATGTCTGAATGCGAGCGAGTCGAAGGTGCTCAAAATGATGGAAGCGTCCGATTCGAAACTAACATCGAAAAACTTCCAATGCGAATATTTGGCTTTGCTGAGCACGTGCAATGTCGCAAAATGAGTAGTGGGGAGGCCAGTCTAAGTGTTTTTGGATTTGTCCCATGCACACAGGTTTTATCCCAAAGAATGACATTTGACCAGAAATTGCCTCGGTTTAACCTGAATACGGCATTGATAAACACAATGGTTCCCAATGGGGATACTATTTTGTTCTCTTGGAGTAACTTTTGCCCGATCCTAGTGGGTCAATCTAGGAGGTCAACGTCCCCGACCAACATGCTAACAGGGTTTGAGAACAATGCTTATTTATGGCAGTTCGCATCTAGCTCATGCAACCTTATTTTTACTGAGGAGCGTTACTTTCGACTGTTCAGTGAAGTTGCAGTCCGTGTGAAATGTTCAAGAAAGATCGAAGTTAGAGAGCTAACTGTGTTCTGGTTTTACGCACAGGATGTACTGCAGTCAGTCCTAAGCCACGTCAAAGAGAGTTCCTACTCGACCATCAAGAACGTAACGCCTTGCTTCCTGAAGTTTAAGGATCCAAAACGGACGGACCATTTGGAAGACCATCATAAAGAATTACCTAAACTGTACACCCATGTTAGCAGAATCATAGCCAGCACTGATGATAACCTTATCCAGATGATCCATGAGCAATCTCCGGAGATAGTTCTTCCTTCAGCTAACATCTTGTGCCACGTGAAAAGGCTGCTACGACCATTGATTCAAATGAATGCTCTTCGCTTCGAAATGCACATTGATTCAACGATGGAGGAGAAGGATAGGCTTGACCTGGACGCTTCCCCAGAAGTACGTTTGGGTCGCAGTGATGCTCAGCGTGCTTGTCTTGGTGACTCATCTCCTCGGCTAGAAGCCATTAACTTGTTGGATGCATCGTTAGTGCACGATTTACTTGACGGCGGGGATTCACTACAAATGTTTGAGGGTAGCGCCTTGATTGCACATATGGTGGGTGAATATCTTGAAGATTTTTCTTTATTGCACCCAGAAAAACACGAATCAACAACTCCATCAATTAGCTGTATACTGTGTCGAGAAAAGCAACTAGGCTTTGGGATTCAGATAGGTGGTCAACAGGAAATTTTGACAAACTCTGCATACGAATACTCTGTTGACTTCGGCAATTGGCAGTCCGAAATATCAGTAAATCCTCACTCTGTAAGCAACTTAAATTTCTGTGATTGTATTACTTCCTTACTGGTCCCTTGTTCCTTTCAATCAAATCCATGCAGCAACACAGCTCCGGATGGCGTTATAGAGGAAGGCAAACTTTACCAAATGGTACAGCTCGGCCATGTGTCTGAGCAATACATGCCTTTATTCCCCCCACAAAGCAGTTCCAATCGCCTACACTTGCATACACCACGAGTGACTAAATTGCTCCGCAAGGCATTGGAAACTCCATCCAACACTCAAGACGCGTATCATCATCCCACAGTTCAGACAATCCAGCCTCTTCTCAAGGTCCACGCGTTTATGCAGTTGATTAGAAATCAACTGTTTCCCCGACAGGCTGACTCGTTTCGTAGACAGAGTTTGTGCGCAATCAGAGTATGTGTGCTGAACACATACACGAAAGAATTCGAATGCTGTTCTTCTCACCAGGCACATCACTCGACACCGGCCACTATGAACTGGATCTGTACCATCTTAATATGCAGCCAATTCTCCCAACTAGCTCCCCATGATCAACTCCAAGTGGAAGGTGAGCAAAGTCCAGGGACCCAGTGGCTTCATCTGAATGGTTTTGGAGCGATAACTGCGGTATTTCGGGCAGCCCTTTGCGTTTCCTTTGGCAAGACATTTAATTCGGTTACCACATCGAATAAGTGGGCGTATGTTGCGTCACAAGGGGGAACAAGATCCATCACAATGTGTAAACAACCCGAATTGGTTTACAGATCGCCGACTGGAAAAGCAAAGCACCCGATAGGAATCCCGGAGATTAAGCGGAAAGATTCATTAAGCATTCGTAGTTCAATGCAAGATACCAGCCTTACACTTAGTATTCACCAACATGATAAACGTGATTACTACAGACGTCATACGTGTACGAAAGTATCCGCTCTCAACGATGGGGAACATATGGTATTTCGTCGTGGTACTACACTAGGGCAGACGAGTAAAATGAAAGTATCCACCGAAGTGCCCTCACGGTTAACAAAGAAGGTAAGCACATATTCCAACGACCGGACTACAACACCCAAAGACACAGATTCTCCGAAACATGGTATGCGGATGTACGAGAAGAAAAGCAGTAGGAGACGATGGTCTACTTCACCTATTCGGTCCACGGGCTCAGGTTGTAAGCACATCGGGGTTCAAACGGTACATGACACACAAACTAGAATATCTGGAGCTTCGTCCAAGTCACGCTCATGGGTATCGGGTGACATGCGAGAACTGAATGGCCAATTAAGGGTAGAAGAACCACCTGGTGAAATCCAACGAAAAACGCCAAAGTTATCCGATGAAACAACCCCATATCTGGAAAAGCTTCGACAGAGAGTAAAACGTAGGCACAGATCGACTTCTCGAACTCTCAGCTCGCTCAGTGCAAAGGAGTCCGAAATTACAGAGACGGATACAAGCGAATTAGCAGCTTTGCGGATCTCTCCGCATACATCACATCTCCTTCCAGTGTCTTACCGAAGAGGTTCTCTTCCACTAGGGGTGAACTTGAATATACTGAGGAGGGGCAGAGACACTGTCAGACAAGTTACAATGAAGTATAATACTACTATCCCACATGTAACTGGTTCCTCAAATCCTACGTTTAACCCTACAACACTACGCAAGCGTCCAGGTCAAAGGAAGGACGATGGTAATGACACCATAGGCAATATTGCAATCAGGGACAGAGCAACTTTGTGGGCGTCTAGGATAAGAGTTGGCCAGAGGTTGCTTGGTAATAATAAACTTCAAAGTCCGCTACCGGCAACTAAAATGGTGCACCACAGTCAACCCCCTCCTCCAACCGGTAGCTCCAATTTGAAGGTCTCTTCTTTGACCAGATCGCCAGCCAAGTGCGACCCACCGGAGAACACCAAGAAAGGTTATCTTCATACAACGCGCTTTAAGACAGGCGTATCGGCCCCAGCTCCTATCCAGCCCATTGTCAGCCCAAAAAGAGATGCAAATATACCTCGTCGAATTCCTGACAAGAAGCAGCCTCTGCGTAGCCTTGACCAAACCACCGTGGCTCAAAGACCTGTTTCGAGAACAATGAAAAAAGAAAAACTGAAGCATCTCTAATCGGACTTCGAAAATTGTACTTACCTTCAATGAGCTTCTGTCTCTGCGATTTCTTTTGCCGCTTTGCTGCGGCGTAGTGTCTTGCTGCCTGTGATCAATCTGAGAATGAACTCGAAGGACTTTGATTAGAATCAGTCCGATTTCTGCGAACAACACTGATAGAAAGACTTATGAAAGTTGGGTCGAGCAAGTTAGAAAAAGGTAAAGACAAGAAGAATAGCTGGGAAGCGTACATACTACCTGGGTTTCTTGAATTGTCGGCGCAAATTCGGAAACCAGAGATCCGGAAATCTGTCCACCAACTCAAAGACCAGCTAGCGTGTTGCACGTCAAAGCAAATATGCGACCTGGCAGGTTTCATTTCTCAGACTATGCATTACAACCATATATACTATTAATACTAAGTCATCTTATGACTCAGTGGCGAATTCTGCTTTTACATCGTATCAAATGGTCCTGATACACCTCAACAATTGCAAACGACTCCCACGGAGAATGTCATTTGTTGTACAGTAATTCAAGATGCTTTACCGCAACAAAGTATTTTCATAGCACACTGGCTTCGCCAGGTTCATTGTTCATTTGTTTTGGCTGACAACATGACAAACCGAACATCATGGCCGTCCATGAATAAATGTTTATTCTGTAAGCGTCAGCCTGCCTCCTGCCCAAACTATTTCCATTCGCAACTGACGAGGAGCGAACGGGAGTAAAGTTCAATTAATCGGCTCTGAGCTGAGAATCGAGGATCGGTGGACGTGATGGATCCGACTAGGATAAACTGGCGAGCACTTTCAAGGTTTGCCGTGAGAAACCAACGTTGGACTCTTGCGAACAGAATCATCACCGTGAATCAGGTTCTAACAGTAAAAATAACAAGAAACACAACATATAAGTTTGACAGAAGGGAATTGTCAGATATGGGGATAAGTAGATCAATGCAGAAATTTCACATCCGATGAGAACCCTAAACATTGGTCAGAATAGTTTTCAAACGAACCAACAATAAGATTGTGAGATTCCGTATTGATCGCTCTCAGCAATGCACAAGCCATTTCGTTCTTGTTTTGATTCAGTCTTTATACGCGGTGGGTGCAACAAAACCAACCATATTCTCAGAGTTCATTTTTAGGAAGTGATTGAGCCCTATCCAATCTTTGTAACCAATCAGCTTCTTCAAAAAATCCGAAGGGCAGTTCGCTGTAATACATTCATGTGGTTTCATCAAATCAACGGTGGCATAAGTTGTAAACCATTCTGGGGATGGCAGGCGCGTTGTCAAGATGCGTCAAGGTTAACAAAAGTCCCTGTGTCGCGATAAGGTTTTAGTAGCTAGGGTACCAACACAACGTGTGCAATGCACCCCTAGATGAGAACAACGATCCCTTGTCAGTGGCACAGTGAATGTTTTATTTTGGATAAAAACAGCAATGGACAGCAGTCCAAGTTTTTTCAAGATAAGCTTTATACACCCTTGTGGGAGCATTTCCAGCAATAGTTGAATAGTTAGGGTAAGAATTTGAAATCGAGTGGCATACGTGACATCGATGCAAACGCAGTAGCAATGAAAAGGGGAAATATACATCGTAGAGAAGCGAATATATTCAATGAACGGGTGCGTGGTCAAATTGAGAATTAAGTATCAAGATGCAGAAAAGTCTACAGGTTACTTACTTGTATTACCTTCCATGTGTCTGAGCGATACATACTTCCAATAAGGGCAGATCAGATGTATTCCAGATGATGACACTATGCGGCAGTGTACAAGCAGTCAGGAGCAACCAACATTCATGTTAAAGTGGCGAAAGTGGGAGCATAAAGAACAGCGTTTGTCGGAGCGCTGCAGGGTTGGGAGGCTCGAAGGGAAGAGTAACCGTCTGCACTCCAGACAACTTTGTTGCTCACTCCATCAAACGAGGACATTAGAACCACGCAGTAGTCAGGATACGGACACAAGATCCCTATTGAAATGTTGGTAGCGCCAACTGAAGTACTTGAGCATCCCCAACTCCGTTAATATGGTATGAGAATCGGGATCTTGACCTTCGTTTTTATCCGACGTTGGGGGTTTCTAGTTCGGCGAGGTGTCCTCGTAGTTAAGGTTGCCAAACTTAGATGAAGGCAAGCGTGAGAATCGAGCAGCATGGGGATGAGTGATTACAAAAGTTCGAGTGACCTTCACAACAAGCCGGTGTTGGTTATCCTCTTTTAAAACCTTCAGTTTCGAGCACCATGTACGCGCCCACCGGCGGAACCAGGCCAGTACAATTGGGTGAAATACTTGACGTAGTTGAGGCACACCAGATCCGGCTTAGTGAGACCGGCGCACGCCATTATGCGGCCTCGTCGTGATTGCGCGCTGCACGTGGCCGAGCACGTGTTGCATGTGATTTCACGTTTGTTGTCTCACCTCTCGCTTAGCCCTCAGCTTTGGTAGGTGGGATTTTCATGCGCGGGTACACGAACGCACGCGGAGCTGTCACTTTATCGATCGACAAGAAACAACGTGCGGCACAGCATTGGTGACAGCTTGATAAGTGTCCGTGAGAGTAATTTTGGGACTGTTGATTGAGCCAGGTTATACTCCAGTGGATGCATTTCACAATTGTTGAGGCCAAGGCTACCGGAAACGCGAGCTGTGGGAACAATTCCGTGTAGGGGTGCTCACCGATTTGAGTAACCAACTCGCTGCACTATATGGTAGGTGAGGAAGTAAATCCATGGAAAATAAGAGCGAAAGCTGTAGCCACACGAGGCTTTCTGAGCTCTAAAGTAACCTCTTTAGTCTTGTGGTCAACCGAAGGAATGCAGGTGTTTTGAATAAGGAATCGACTGACTAATTTTCGTGGCTGCACGGTGATGGGTGATATCGGTTTCTGTTTAAATAACACACGAAGAAGACGAATACTGGTAGATGCGCGCGTTTTTCGAAATAACTACCACCGCACAAGGTGGGTACAACGGGTGGTAGCTTATTTTCAACTGGAGTTTTAGGGCATCATCGCGCCTTATAAGATTATATCTAAATATATACATAGAAAATTATGGAATAATGTTCACAGTAAGGACAAAAATCACAAACGGAAACAAAACAAATAAGTTTTCTCTGCCTTTCACAGGATGTTTCGCTTTTTTGTCAGTTTAGGAATTACGGCTTTGAGAAGTAGATTCAATACCTAATTTCATGAGTCTTCCACTGTCCCCGATTCTGCGCCATGTACGCAAGCTCTCCAACCAGCGTTGTTCTCTCTCTTTGACTTCTCAGCCCGGAAGACTTACGGAAGAGACAACAGCCTTGACATTTGTCGCCGTATGGTGGGTAAACCACCGCGCGACCTCTTCCAGTGCACTCCTGCGTGAGTGAATGGAGCGAGTAAAGGTAAACGCTAGCACGGCATTCGCAGGATGTGACCTAGCCACCTAAATTGGCGCAGCGGTGTTAGCTTGTCGAGAAGTAGGCCCGTGCTACCTGACACGCGACGTCTAACATCGGTGTTGGAAACGTGGTGTTCCCAACATACATGATCTATCCTCCGCAAACAAACGTTAGCCAAGGTAGAAATCCGACACAAGTCATTTCTACAGACTGGCCAGGACTCACTTCCGTACAACTGTACCGCGAGAACAGGCATTGTAGCCCATGACCTTTACCGAGAGTGAAACATGGACGACGCCACATATGTCTCAGATTAGTGAAAGCTGATCGGCCTTTGGCAGTACTGAGAGAAATATCTCGTCCAATGGTACTATCCTCAGAAACACAGCTCCCAAAATGCGCCCCTTCAAGGATCAGCACAGATGCAGTTGCATGACAATGTTGAAGTAGGACTTTTCACTTCGATGGGGCAATGGACATGCCATACTTGGAAACATTATAGTGTTGCTCATCCCAACCCTGGCAGCTCAATCAGTTGAAGATAGCCTGAGTTGGGCTGGAACAGAGCCTAGTGGTTCATGGTTGACGCCATAAGCACTATGCCACTGAGATCCGCGAGCAACGCTTGGTACAGCGGAAACGAATTCAAAGTTGGACTTGGAGAATCCGCTGGTGGTTGGGTTGCTACAAGCAACCTCTATTGAGACCTCGGTTCATTTGAGTGGACCTCGATCATTCCGATCACAAAGACCGTAATTAAAGTGGAACCATTATAGTGTTGCTCATCCCAACATTGGCACTGGGTGTCGATTATCCTTTGGAAAATCCCCGGGGCAGAGTTAATTCCTAATGGGAGTCTAGTGTATACAAATAAACTCAAATATGTGCTAATCATAGTAAACGGGCTAGAATAGTCGTCCGATTCCACCTGCAAATGAGCGTGACTTAAGTCAAGTTTAGTATACTTGATCAGATTTAGTGAACCTGACGCCACCAGATAAAATGGCATATAAATCTTCAATTTTTGGTAAGGGCTAACGGTCCATGATAGTGCAGCGATTCACTGTTAGTTTGTAATCACCGTAAATCCACACACTGCCGTCTGGCTTAAGCACAAGGACTGTCGGTGCTGCCCATCCAGATTGTTAACCGGTACGATTGTATCTTCGTGCTGGAGCCGTTTAATTCTTCCTTAACTTTTGGCCTTAGAGAATTAAGTAGTGTTCTAACCTTGATGCATTTTGGCGTAATAGCATCTACCATATGATTTTTGGCTTTTAAATTGTTGCGTTTCTCCAACTGGTGTTCCTTAAATACCTCTGGGTATCGCTTTAGGACCGAGTCTACGGTTTCCACCCCACGGAGTTGCTTGCATTCGGCACCTGCGGTAACTGTTTTATCCAAGCACGCCCCAGTAGATTGAACAATGAACAATGAATTTATACGGGTTAAGAAGTGTTGCTTTACAAGTCCCGTTGGATAGTTGCTGGGGATATCAACATAACAATAATGATGATAAGGATAGTAAAATAGTTAATACTTTAAATATGAAAATAAGGACTTATCGTTTGCTTCGCCGCAGTCCTGCGATCCTCTTAGATTCACAGCACCCACAGTTAACAACAAATAATTCCATGGTAAACTCCAGGTGTAGGATGGAGACGTAGTGTTAAGTGACGAAGTGTAAGTGGATGAGTGCATCGTCCAACCGTCTTTTAAATACTGTTAGTGTCGGTGCAGAGACGACCGATTCTGGGAGAGCATTCCACGGGTGACAGACACGAATAGAAAAGAAATTTCTGCGGCACTCCAGACGACTGTATTGTTCTGCGAGTTTTAATGAGTGGCCCCTCAGGTTTGTATTGCTGCTGAGTTGTAGTAAAGGGCGGCACACATGATGTGGGTCTCGCAGAATCAAGTATGCCATAATCAGGTCGCCTCGTAGTCTGCGATAGCTTCCACTGAACAATCCCAGTCGTCGCAGCCTCTCCTGGTAGGAAAGATTGCGCATTCCAATTACGTTCTTAGATGCCCGGCGTTGTGGCTGCTCCAGTGCATTAAGGTCGTGTTTCAGCCATGGATGCCAGGCTTGAATTGCATATTCGACATGGGGGCGAACATACGCACTGAGCATTTGTCGAAATATGGAGCTGTTTATTTGTCCAAACGCCCGCCTCAACAGCCCCACACGTTGGTTCCCGGTCTTCGAGGCCTTTTCGGATTGCCTGGAGCAACCCAAGTCATCTTGAACCAGGACACCCAAGTCACGTTCGAGAGTTGATTGTTGTAGTATATTCGTTCCGAGTCGGTATGAGTAGCTGCTCTGATGTCGGATGGAAAGCACCTTGCATTTACTGACGTTGAAATGCAATGAGTTTTGGGTCGACCATTGATACACCGTATCTAAATCACTCTGAAGCACATGTTGGTCGGTGTTCGCCTGGATCCTGCACCAGATCTTGATATCGTCGGCAAACATTAGGAAATTTGAAGCAATTCCCTGTTCAAGGTCACTAATAAACACAAAAAACAAACGTGGACCTATAACTGAGCCTTGCGGCACACCACACTCGACTTGTATGGGGTCCGATAAAGAGCTCCGAACTCTGACCACTAATTGCCGTTGAAGTAGAAAGTTGGCGATCCAGCTTAAAAGAGGGTCTCCTATCCCGTAATGTTACAGCTTGGATAGTAGTATCCGATGGTCTAGATGGT